TAATAAAAATTCATATTAATCAATATCAAGGTAGTCACTGTCACCTTATAGCGGAATACTTCAAACTAACAGTTCTACCTATTACAACTATAGTACCCATTACTGTATGGCAAACATCACTTCCGGTGAAATGGCAGACTGTGATTGGCTGAGAAGCATTTTCAGCGTCCATTATTTCCCGTAATGGGAAGCATTTTCAGCGTCCATAATTTCCCGTAAATTTCCAGTACGTAAAAACAAACGCATGTATATTAAAACAAAACAGCAAAACTAACTGAAAATTTGACTTTATTTTTTGAAAATTACTTCACCAATGAACTTACTAGATCTATCGAAGCAATTTAAAGCATGAGCAGCAATGTTTTATCAGACCCATAGCTACACGGTTTCGCCTTGTACATGTGATAAAACACTGCTGCTCATGTTTAAATAGTATTACTCTTTTCAGCGATTTCAAGTCAAGGATGTCCAAAAGGCTGGAAGGAATATGGCATTTCATGCTATTCCATACCATATATAGAAACGCGGGAAATGAGCTGGGAAGACTCTAGAACTAACTGCTTAAGATATGGAGCTGACCTTGTTTCTATCCTTGATTCCTCAGAAGTTGGTTTTATTCAAAGACAAACAAGTGCCATAGGATCCTTTAAATTCTGGATTGGATTAATCCGTCAGAAAACGACCAATGATCCAAAGGAGGGCTGGGTCTGGAGTGATGGCAGTAATGTTACAAATCTTTTGCAGTGGGTTGCGGGTGAACCAAATAATTTTCAGAACATTGAAAATTGTGCCGAAATTTCCGCATACGGCAAGTGGAAAAAGTGGAATGATGATAATTGTTCAAAATTGTATTCTTCCATTTGTAAAAGGAGGAAAGGTAATTTTTGCAAGCTCTTTTTACATCACACCGAATTAAAAAAAAATACGGAAAATTTTTTATAACAAACAATTTAAGCAGTTTTATAACAAACGTTTTTCGCACAGAGAAGTTTAATTTAAATTCTCTGTCATGCATTTTTCTTATTACTTGCGAATGGAAACATTAACGAGGTGTTAATGAGTTAACTAGTATCTGTTATAAGGACCAGTTGTACGAAAGCCGTTTGATTATACTGGCTTTTTCTCCTTTTCTGTCCATTGTATAGCTCGACGACACGCAGTAAGGCCATTATTTTCAGGTTTAAAAGAAACACTGTCTTTGGAAAACCGAAAGAATACGCAAATAAATACAGTAGACAACACTACGCCGAGCGTTAAAAAATATTCGAACGCTTATAGTCGTTTGAATTATTCGTTATTTACTTGGGTCGGCAATTAAATGTGAATGCTCCAGGCATCAGCTTTTCGGTTGCCAAATTGCCATAACCAGTCTTACCCTGTATTCGTACTACCACCCATACTAATATCTTTTCCATGAATCCACATCTTCTATAGTTCAGCGTATATGCATATACGCAATAATTCATACTTGAGCAATATTTGAGCAATGAAGTCTTACATAAACGCTAGACAGTATTTCTGAAGAACAGACAATGTTGTTACTCTTTTAGCAATTGGAACTCAGCCATGCCCAAAAGGCTGGAAGCGTTACAACATTTCGTGCTATCTTTTCGTCACACCGAAGAAACAAATCCAACGAATGACATGGCAAGACTCCAGAGCTGTTTGCCTAGGATATGGAGCAGACATGGTCTCAATACTTGATTCATCGGAGGTTAAATTTATTCACCAACAAACAAATGCAGATACCCTGCGAAATCATAACTTTTGGATTGGATTAATTCGCAATAAAACGACAAGTGATCCGAAGCGCGGCTGGATCTGGAGTGATGGCAATAATTTTACAAATCCTTGGCTGTGGAAACGGAACGAACCAAATAATTACCAAAATAATGAAAATTGTGCCCAACTTTATGCACCAAGCAGAATGTGGATTGATAATGATTGCGCAAAATTGTTTCCTACAATTTGCAAAAAGATAAAAGGTAACTTAATTAAGTTCAGAACTAACAGGGTGTTAATTAAATAATATTACAGTCTTTATAAAAAAAGGTCATCCAAATCGGGTGTATTGGCCTAAAGAATATTTGACGAATTGGTTTTTGCACAGTTATAAAGTTCAGTCATTTAGCTTTTTAATGACATGGTTTATGCGTCATTATTTAAGTATTGGACGATTATTGCTTGGGCGAAAAGTCCCCAAGAATCGCATATTTCTACTGAAAGGAATTGCATTGTTTCCTTTGTTATTTATTGCTTTGGCAAAACTGTCACCCATAATCGCATATTTCCACCGATGGGAATTATTAATGTTAGATTTGACGACAAAAGATATAGTCCATATTTGTTTAATCATTGAACTGTAGTATCCTTCACAAAAATGTACTTATTTACGTACACGTATTTCATTTTAATTTGAAAAGATTTACGGCCTTATGAATGCCTCGTGGGGCATATCCTTTACTTTTTAACCACATGACACATAAAACATATTACTTGAAAAGTAAATTAATTTAAAGATAAATAGCTGAGCCCAGGGTATGGTTTATATATTTAGAAAATAATGGTCTTATATTACAAAAACGGTTATTTAGTTTAAAAGAACAAATGAATAGGAAAAAAGGAAACCAATTTATCAGTTACTGAGAATCTCGACGCATAAAACTCAGGGGGCGGTTGTACGAAAGCTGGATGAATTTCTGTCCGGCGGAAAAGCGCTATGCAGCGGATGCATTTTAAGTTCAATATCCGGTCAATAAAGTCGCAGTTTGAATGAGTGTTTCTGATGAAGGAGATTACGATTTCTATCGAGAAATGGACGTATTCCCCTGGACATGCAGTTCCACTTTTTGAGCATTCTGAATGCCTCCTCCTGCCGTAACTCTGAGGCATTAGTTACTGCTCAGACTGCTCTGAGCAGTAACTACTGCCTTTCCACCCCAAATGGCTGAAAATTATGCAAATTATATTTCATAAAATAAACACGAATTTTAATTGTATTTATAAATAAAACTTTTTCAATACTGAAATTATACTAAAACAGCTAGTCGCCCCAAGCTCGGTGATTACAAGCCTTTAATCGCCTTCGAATCAGTGAATATAGTCTTGTAGTCACCTCGCCTTCGGCGACTAATTGTTAAATAGTACGGTTTCTCGTGGAAGTCGGAAAAACATGCATACACTGGTGAGTATAGACAATTAAGGTATTAGTTAATTTAAATCACCCCATTTGGCAACTATTCTTCGTTTCATTCTGTACTAAATATTCACAGATATGTCCCTCAGGTTGCAAGGACCATTAAGTGAAAATGGCACAGGTCGTTTGGAGGTATTCTACAACGGACAATGGGGAACAATTTGTGATGATAAATGGGATATAGACAATGCTAAGGTTGTATGTCGTCAACTTGGATACAAATACGCGTTCAGAGAACTTCGTGGAATTGATGTCCCTGATGGTACTGGGCAGATATGGTTAGATGATGTCAATTGTATCGGAAATGAACGAAGATTAGCAAGTTGTTCTCATACAGGGTGGGGGAATAATGATTGTAAGCATAAAGAAGACGCTGGAGTTGAATGTTTGTCACAAGGTAATTTTAGTTCATTCACTGCAAATAAATAGTTTGAAAACTGGGTGAGGTTTTCTGGAGCTATTAACTATATGTTTGATAGGGCGCTTGTCATATGAGATTGGAGCTTTTGTAGTTACATTATTGTTTTGTGAGTTAATATCAATATCCAATATCATTATCAATTTCGATACCACCATGGTAATCATCATGAATGTCATTCTGTTTACAATTTCCGTATATTCTCAATCCCTGCAACATTTTTATAAGCTCACCTTCTTAAAATGCAAGTTCTATCATCGATATGTGACAATATATCATTCCAGATAAATATTAAATCTAGTACGTAGCACCGATGAAAGGAAAGTATTTATACATTAGAGTGACCGATTGGCACTATGGTGGCATAATAAACCACATGTCACCCTTTTCTTGCGTTTATGAAATAAATAACGAAAACGCTTAAAAAACAACAATAACTTTCATGATTTGAATAGTTTGAAAATGTATTTGGAATAGGTTTAACTTGATTTTTTTTGTAATTTTGGTGTAATGTACTCAGGTGAATATGATGCTTGTGATGTTACTCTGAGTGTATATCCACACCGGCAAGCTTGAAAAATATGCCTGACCACGAAATAGAAAACATACGAGTCCTCTCATTTCATGGGAATATCCTGCCTCTGCAATCACGGCTTCAATTTTTAATTGCAGAAAAATTCGATACACTATCTAGTGTATATAAGATATCTATGCTCTAGGCACTACCTACATTAGTACTTTGAGGTAACTTCATATTCTGGCTCTCCCTCAGGTAATCTATTAAAGGTATGCAAATTACCACAACAAATTATCATAACGGTTACCAAAGCTACTCATACCCATACCCATACCCATACCCCAGGAAGGCTAATATGCTATTGTACAATTTAAATGACACATTCATGGCGTTCTAACAGTAATACCATGAATTTGGTATTAATGTTTTTACAAATTTAATTGTTTCGGGCTTACTATAGCTGTCGGTTAGATTTCCTATAGTTTTAGATAAACGATAAAAAAATGATAGGAAAAATCAACGTATTAAGATGTGTTGGCAAAAAGATGTGTTGGCCTGTATCTCTACGATATTTTGTTAAATCGATAATCTGCTGGTCATGTATTAATGCCTTGTATTGGTGCATGGAATGCAAGTTCGTTTGTTCACTTCTTATGACAGATTAAATGACATTGAACGTAATGTATAACAGTTACCAAGGAACATAAGGAGAAAAATATCCTTGATCGACATACATCTATCCCGACAAAAAGGGATACTTAACGTCGATGTTCACATAAAATCTTAGCAAACGGACACCTAGGTCTTAGTTCCCATCAGAATGACAAACTAAAATTTACTGGTTTAGGACGCTAAGATATACACAAAGCAATATCATTACCAAATAGGGGTAAGAGAAAACAAAGAAAAACTAGAGATCGACATGCAAGAACATAAGTAATACCTTATAGCGGCCAATGAATTTCCAAAATATTTTAGTAAACCAAAGCGCCAGCAAATATGTTACTTCTTCTCCGATTATATCCTTTCATCGAAGTAACTTTTTGGGTTATGTTTCAAACAATTTTCTGATGACGAATTTACAATTAGTTATGAAACCCTACCTCACATCAGTTGATAACATATGACGTTATGACTAAACCTCTTCAAAACCTACAACGCCTTCCGCTCACCTAAAAATGCAGAGTACCACCTGAAACAAACAAACGAACATGCTTAGTTAACAGAATCCAATGCATGCTCTGCTGTTTGTCATACAAGCCATTTTCATGGCTAGGCACTGGTTTGTGATACGACGTTTACTGTCAAATTTGAGCTCCATCTATAGAAATCACTTTTATCGACTTCGTTCTATTATGGTGTTACTGGTGAAGCGCATAAGGAGTTTGAGTCGTACCTTACTAGTCACAGTCAATTTGCCACAACGTCCAAGAGATTTGATTAACAGTATTGGGGTACCGCAGGGTTCATGTCTAGGCCCTTTGCTCATTATTTTTTTTATTTATTTAGCTTTATCAACTAGGGCAGGGTCACAACAACAGCATGTGCCCATTACTGTTGGTCCTTTTACCTAACACGCCCCGTCAACATTCCCTGTGGGAGGAAACCGGAATACCCGGAGCAAACCCCACGACTTTCGGCAGGGCGTTGACTTTACTCTTTTCACACGAAGACTGGGTTCGAGTAGCATTGAGATAGTTTTCACTGAGGCTGGAACCTGCGACCTGAGATGTGAAAGGCAAGTGCGCATTTTTGTGTGCAAGCAGACTATTTGGTATACTAGATGGGTCACCTTCCATGCAATATTCGCACGCAGACGATGTGCGGACCGAGAAATGGATGCTTTCTGATAAGTTCAAATTGCATGATGGATAGTGTGAGTTCATGATCATAGGCACAACTCAACAGCTCGCAAATGTCCAGCTATGAGTAAATTGTTTACACACGTTCGAATTATCAGTAAAACAATTGGCGCAATAACCTTAATATAAACCCAACTCTAACCCCTAACCCTAATCTAATCTTTCTTGGACGTAGCAAACTGCGCATATGGAAATATGATCAGAGGATTCATTTTAACAATGCAACGATTATACTGATTATCGACAAGGGAAATTTTCAAGTTAGAAAAACGATCTGTACACAATGCGTTATTCTTACTCGCAAACATTCTAGCCGCAAATTAATGACTTTCCGTTATTACTTCATCAATAGATATAATGATTCGCCTGCGTTTGTAATTATATTTATGTATTTCCTTATTCATTGTATATGAATTGTTGTTGGTAGTTATAATTTCTAATCATTGCAATACGAGGTCTCAGTAGGGTTGTCGAAAGGTTGTGATAAATAAATTATTGTATCTAAACGGTCAAAGAAAGCGATAGTAACTGTAGTATGTAGTTATTCGATGATCTTTTTAGTTAATCATTCTATTTTTATGTTGAGATCAACAGTGCGCGTCCAGAAAGTAGCTTACAATGTAGGATATCACCAATTATAAATACGAGAGGGATTTAGAAAATATTTTATCACCCCGTTTCGTAGTTGTCTTCCATTTGACATTGCATTAATTAACGTTTTACAGGCCTAGATATATCCCTCAGGTTAGAAGGGCCATCAAGTGAAAAGGGCACCGGTCGTGTTGAAATATACGCAAATGGACGATGGGGAACAATCTGCGATGATCAATGGGATATAAATGATGCTAAGGTTGTATGTCGTCAACTTGGGTATAAAGATGCCGTTAAAGCGCTTCAGGGAGGCAATGTTCCTAATGGAACTGGACAGATATGGTTAAACAATGTTGTTTGTAACGGGAATGAACGAAGCTTGGCCACTTGTTCTCATGCAGGATGGGGCAATCATGAATGTTCACACAACGAAGACGCTGGAGTTGAATGTTCACCACCAGGTAAGTTGACTAATTATCAAGAAAAAACAGGTTAAATTAAAAAGCTTGGATTTTTCGAAGGCTATTAAATATATTATGGATGATAGAGCACTGGTTATATGAGCTTTGAGGTCTAATTGTTAGCATTAATTATCAATGCGTGTTAATACCGCTATATTAATCAATATAAATATCATTATCATTATAATTTCTATATACTTTGTCCGGACGGCCGCAAGCAGATTTTTTTGAAAGCATGGGGGGGGGGGGGAAGTAACACCTGTATGCTGAAATAACTTACTCAAATAAGCAGGTCCCGATTCCACAAAACTAGACTATTTCCCGGCCAGACTCTTTCCCCAAAGTTGCAATAAACAAATATTTTATTATATACCAAACGTAAAGAGAAACAAAAAATGAAATACACTGCAGAATTATTTTAGGAAACCACATTGTTTACATTTTGACAACATCTTATATTAAGTTTTGAACTTAATATGTAAGTCTTGTTTCGTCCAGTTACAATCAAAACTTCGCTTGTATTTTTCCTCAATATATATGGACCGTTTTTAAAATCTTTTCAAAGCACACAAGCTGTGTTATTTAAAAAAAACCTTTCGTTTGTTTCCAAAAAGTAAACAAAAGGTCGCAGGTGTAACATGTCGGAAGTTGAAAATAAATCGTTCAAATGCCAGTGCATGTTTTAAAATTTTATTTTAATCTTTCTAATTGTGCTTTGGTTTTTGAGTGAGAGATACTAAAACAATTGGAAAAATCCTCGATGACGTCGTTTAATATGTTAATTGGTCAATGGCATATTAGCGTACAATAATTACAGTGCATGCATCTACATGCAGTATGTAAGCGTGACTACTTAGACAACACTAATCAATCACATTCAGCACAAAAATAGGATAAAATTAACTAACGGCGCTTTAGCCAATCAGCATTACTCCAAAAACAATTTTAACAAATAAAAGAATATCATACGGTAAAAATACACATGAAAAGTAAACACTGCAGTCACTGGCTCCGGAAGCCGACTCCATGTTTTCTTTTGACTGGACGAGCCGTACTGTGATTAGATTTCTATTTTTGTTCTGCATTCTGATTGGTTAATGCTCTTTAAACGGTTCCACGTACTGTAGACGCACTGTATCCAGAGGGGCTGATAGCCGACAAGGAGCGTGATACAACGCGAGTGAATAGAATAACGTTCCTTTGTTAAACTGATAGGAAACCACCGAATTCACAGACACGACTGTTATATCATTGTCCGGTAATACTTTAACAGCTAATATAGCAATTCATGCAGCTTGTCCTAAACCTGATAAACCACTGCTGCTATTTCGTTAAATAAGACTTCAAACATTACTGTTATCAGTAGTTGTAAATAGTTAAATTAACCTAACACAAGAATATACTGTCATGCTCTATAAGGTTATGGTTATGGTTAATTTTAGGATTAGGCTTGGAGTTAGAGCTGGTTTGTTTTGGAAAATTATATGCAGCAATATTTTGTTTTGTCAAAAATTTTTTACAAAGTCTGGTCAAGAAACGTTTCATTTCCGAGCTGTGATGTTGCAATATAATCGCAAAATTATAATTTCAACTGGCGCTCTTTCTTCGTGTATTTATTCATATAGCTACAAGTGTCACTTTCTATAGTATTTCTCCATTATCTTTCTTTCTTAGTTCTTGGAATACTCGGATGCCCAAAATTCTGGAAGGAATATGGCATTTCATGCTATCTTCTTGTCAAGCGAAAAATGAGCTGGCAAGACTCAAGATCTAACTGCTTGGCATATGGAGGGGACATGGTTTCTATCCTTGATTCCTCGGAAGTTAGATTTATTTACCAACAAACAAGTGTCGGTGTCGTTAAAAATTCCAGATTCTGGATAGGATTAATCCGTACGAACAAGACTAGTGATCTAAAGGAAGGCTGGATCTGGAGTGATGGTAATAATATTACATATCCTCTGCAGTGGGGACCCGGCGAGCCAAATAACGACCGGAATAATGAACATTGTGCTGAAATTTTGCCCGGGAAGTCATGGTGGAATGATAATGATTGTGCAAGAGAATATGCTTCGATTTGCAAAAGGAAAAAAGGTAACTTATATCCACGCTTTTCTTTCATAATACCGAGTTTAATATATTGTACGCATGAAACACCTGTTTACGAAAAATGTTTAGGAATGAATGCTTTCTTCGCGACTAGTTTCAATTAATTTGTTCAATGTTATCAATAGCGGAGTAATCGGTATGCTGGGTAGGCTGAAGTTCCCGGCTCTCTAAAGGGCCGCGATTTTCAGGTAATGTATTTTTTATAAGAACTATTTTTAATTAACGTTTGTCCTGAATTAAACATGGAGATGTTTCAATAGCAGCTAATCCAAAAGCTATAAGTTCTTTGGTTTCATGATTTATTATTAGCATGACAAAATTACTGGATGCTGCTTGGTTGAGAGGAGTACAATTATTTCATTAATTGTACTGCAGTACAATTAATGATTTTCCCAAAACAAACAAAATGGCGGAAAGGTATTCTAAAACACAAATGTGAAATGAAATTAACCTAGATCAACTAGATGAAAATACGAACAAAAGCACCAAATTTTGCCTTTAACAAAAGAAATAAATTAAAATGCGAACAAAAGCACCAAATTTTGGTTGAAAGTCTGGCCGAACTGGGCTCTGGCAAGAGAATATGATGTTGTCATTGAGACGTATCCAATTTTGTCATATGCTAAAAATCTACAAATAATCATGCAATGTTGCTCGTACAATTTGGGATTAATAGTACGAGTGATGTTTAGAAATTTTGCCAAATTGGACTCGCCCCGGCGGCTCGTCCAATTTTGGCAAAATTTCTAAACATCACTCGTAGTATTAATCCCAAATTGTACTCGCCGTCGCATGATTACCTATACTAATCAACCGCGCAATGTTTCCAGGTCCCCAATGAAAAACACTACGGTAATGTGTGTAATAGTAACAATGTTCAGTATTCGTGAAATTCTGCCTTAATATAATGAAGCTGTGTTTAGACTCTCCCAATAAAATTAAAGGAACGGAAGAAGCGAAAACATCGACAAAAGGCTGAACCTAAGAGGATTCCTATGGTCTAGAAATTGAATTAGGTGTTCTGTTGCATGGAATCGTTTGCGTTATCGTTGTTTATAATTTATAAATCTGCAGAACTTGCGTGGGAATATCATTCTCAAGGGCCGCAAATTTTACCTACAATCTGCAACCGGCATGTAATTTCTTACCTTATGCTGGTTCGAGTACAGTAACAATTTAGATTAGTCAGGAGAATTGAAAAAGTTGAGACGTAAAGATCAATGTTGCCAGCAACCTCATTTCCAGTGCTTCAGTGTGAGGACGAGGCGAGACACGAGGAAGCCCTGGTCTGGGCCGGTCACGTGACGACAAAAAATGGCAGTATTTGACAGATACTCGTCAAGGAGTGGCGAGATATTCTTTAATGAAATACTCAAGTTTTCGAAACAAATAAATAGCCAAAAGACTTGTCAATCGATGTTATTTATGTGTAGAGCGAAGTTTGGCACGAATCAGCTAAAATCTATGAAGATCCCGTCTATGTTTTCTAAGATATACCGATATTTCTGGAGATTTTCAACTACAGGGAAACTGCATCCAAGCTGCATCTAGGCGTCTCCATGCAAGTGGTGATTCACACGAAATTTCCTTTCTCTCGTCTTGAACAATGTGGCTATTGCTATTATTAATATTTAGTTTAAACATTCTCTTATAGATCTGACTTAGTTCAATATAAATAAACACAAATATAAACCTCGCGTAACCTTTTTACGTTGTACAGGAATATACGGATTCGCTTGTTTCGTCGGACACCAACACTTGCCGTTCAGGAGCAATGCTTGCCTACAAATTTTATTCCCTTCACAATCTTTGTTTTATTTTATCGTATAGTCGCAATTTTCAAGTATTCGAGGTATTCTGGAACTGAAAAATTGGTACCCGGACATTTTGCCGAACCTTCACAATCTTTGTTTTATTTTATCGTATAGTCGCAATTTTCAAGTATTCGAGGTATTCTGGAACTGAAAAATTGGTACCCGGACATTTTGCCGAAAGACACTTTGCCGAAAGACATTTTGCCGAAAGACATTTTGCCGAACGGACATTTTTGCCGAACGGTCGTTTTTCCGAACAGACATTTTGCCGAACGGACATTTTGCAGAACGGACAGTTTGCCGAAAGGACAACTTGCCGAAAATAGAGATGTTATTTCGTCAAAATGTTTGGGACTGTGACTCATTTCTCAACTGTGTAATTCTCAACCATTGTGTAAAATAATCATTATATGGTCATTAGCAGTGCATAATGGTCATTAGCATTGCATAATGGTCATTAATAGTGCATAACCATATTGACTATTGGTAGCTTGTTTGTGCAGCTGATGACTTATTTGTTAAGGAACGTGTTTTAACGTCAAGTCGTATACAAACAAGCGTATATAAAGACAACGACGTAAGCGAATTTTACTTCGAAAAATATATATAAAACGAAACTATACTTCACTATCAAAGTTTCTGTCTTCAAAATCGACAATGACTTTAAATCACAGATATTTTGACAGTATAAGCGAAACTTTAAAGTTCAGAAGATATCTCCATTTTCGGCAAGTTGTCCGTTCGTCAAACTGTCTGTTCGGCAAAATGTCCATTCGGCAAAATCTCCGTTCGGCAAAACGTCCGTTCGGCAAAACGTCCGTCGGCAAAATGTCCGTTCGGCAAAATGTCTTTCGGCAAAATGTCTTTCGGCAAAGTGTCTTTCGGCAAAATGTCCGGCCACCGAAAAATTGGGTGGCGTGCGAATCTTGTTAAGACTACATCGGCCTAGGCGTAGAGCTATTAAGTAAACAGGGCCTAAATTAATTTAGTAGCTCCATTTAATTGTTTGTCTTGCTTTTATTTGTCAGTACAGAATATTGTAAATTAAAATATTACTACAATGCAATACACGTAGTAATTCATCAGACATCTGCACTAATAAATACTGTACAAGGAAAACTACAGCTTAAATAATAGTAAACGTTTCTTGTTTTGTCAGGAAACATCACAGCTCACTTCGAGGCTTTTGAACCAGCCGAGGCGAAAGTAAATCTGCAGTCGGGAAAACGCACTGATCTGAAAGAAAACGTCTTACTTTGAAAGATTATTTTGCAAAACATACTCGTACACACAAGAATCATAAAAATACAAATGTTGAATTGTTATTGTCAACTGTCAAGTTCAGTTATTTTTAGACAATATGGTGTTAGCCAATCAGAATGCAAAATTGACCGGCCCAGACCAGGGCTTCCTCGTGTCTCGCCTCGTCCTCACACTGAAGCCCTGGGAACGAGGTTGTGTTGCCAGAGCAAGAGTTGTTTGTGGTTCTGGTGTGCCCAAATTGTAGTCTTATGGGTGTTGACATTGCTCACAAATTTGGCATTTCAGAAGCACATGGTGTTTCTTGAATATGGGCTACTTGTTAGACTTTCTACATCATGAGTTAAGAACTCACCTACTCATCTGGGCATCATGTGGTTATACAAAAAAAAAACTATGCCTCAGCCTCTCAAAGAAACCTAGCCAAATACCCGTGTAATTATTGATTACTGTACAGAACTAAGTCTGCTTTTTTTGAAAATGGGAACTCCACCTCACTTACAGCATCTAATCAGAAATTATGTTGGCTCTACATAATCATATAACAAGCAATCTGAATTGCACCAAGCCATGTAGCTTCTGTGTTAACAATTAATTCAATCAATCAATCAAAAACATTTATTTAAATTAAACACATTTAAAAATGAGCAGCAAATTGCTGATGTGGTCGTGTAACCCACACTGAACGCATGCAGTCATTAACAGTTCATCGAAATTCCTTTGCTCCAAATATTTTTCAATGGCAGTCTGCCCGAAATATTTTTCAATGGCACAAGCATGTCAGTGTTGCCCCACTGACATGCTTCTGGGGGCTTTGGAACATTACTTGCTGTCAAAAAGATTTTGCTAAGAAGAGATATGTGAGGCAGTTAAACGACCTCATCTTTCATGAAACTAGAGTTTGCTCTGTGACTGACCTCTTGTATTGCAATCAATGTCAACCATTTGTTCTTTGGTTGTAAAAAGAATGTTTTGAGTATATGGTGTATACTCTGGAAAAGATAAAGTTTGCACAGCTCCGCAAAGTCAGGAACAGTAATTTGTTACAGTATAGATTTTCGAATTTCGATATTGTGCATTTGATTTGCAAGTATGTTTGCCCCATTTAATGCCTTTTTTATGGGAATTCCCTGACAAAATCTTGATATTGGAATGGTTCACAATTATTGGATACTAAGAGGTTCTGCAAAAAATCACCAGTGCCAACAGTTTTCAAACCAAGTTTTCTTAAGTCTTCAACATTTACATGTTTATCAAAAGCAGGTGCTGCCGTGCGGGGTTGTTGTAGTCTGCTGCGTAATTGGTTTTTTTTTGCCTGTTCCTTACTAGTATTTAAAAACTCATCAATAATTCATGAAGAACACACAAAGAAAATCATAAGCCTGTCGTATCTGTATATGTGATACATATTCATGTTGATTTACATAAACTTTAACTTTGATTTTCTCGGCTTAGGCAACGTTTATTTTTTAAATTTCTTCACCAATGAACTCATAACATGGCCAGAAATGACGGACATTGTGCAAGCGTACCAGTCGGTCAGCGGCTTTTCCGTTTATCCACAAGAATTCCTAGTTATCCTTTTACGACCTATCAAAGCATCCGGAATTTCAAATATTCGCGTGGGTGTTGTTTATAAAGCAAAGCACGAAGTATGCACTCAAGTTGTGGCTTTTAGTTTACCAGGCTCAGGATGTAGCTAAGCAATGACTACGGGGACGAAAAGAAAAGCTTTCGACGAGTATTTTGGTACCAAACATGTAGCAAGGCAATCAATATTTCGAGTTTGGCAAGCGAATGGAATATCACTTTTCGACCGCGATGTAATATTATAATATGCATATTAACGCACCGGCTTGCGAATTTCAAAACAAAAAAGCAGAGCTTTTATCGGGTGTAACAAAATAATAAACGGCGGAAGGCAAGGCTATACTATTCGTCAAAATAAAATGATTTCAACAAATTTCGATAATTGAATATATTACGAGATATAGCCTTTTGAGCGAGAAACAATTATAGATTCCTATGTAAAGTGAGGTAAAATGTTGTAATATTCAACCGCAAAAAGCAGAGCGAGTATACAAAGAAATGAGAACTTTTTTTCTTAATGTGTTGCTTTACGACCGCTACTTCTGGAACCAATTTCAACAAATATTCAAAGATTTATATATAGCATGCTATATTGAAAATACTCCGCTCGCCTGATAATAAACATAGGGCATTGGGCAGCCATTGTTGCGTGGGTGCTCGTGGTAACGTGAAACCTGAGAAATGAAAATGTCCGTGATTTCTGGCCATGAAAAGCGTATGTCTGGTTATCGGAAGGTTACGTGGAGTATATATGCTTGATACGCATCAACATATATATATATATATAGTTTTTCGTTTTACTTCAAAAAACCATAACAGTCTCGTAAACCAAAAACTTAAGCTATATATATATATATATATATATATATATATATATATATATATATATATATATATATATATATATATATATATATATATATATATATATATATATATATATATATATATATATATATATATATATATATATATTAGTGCTCGCATACACTCTAAAACCCATGCAGGTTAAAAATTTCCTAGTTAATCTAAAATTATATATATGTATGGGTAACGGTCCATCAATATAGATAGAAAAGATAAATAGAAAAAACTTTATTTACCCACGCTAACCCTGTCAACCGAAGCCGATTTCCACAGGGGGCGTGTAAGAAGAAAATTACAGTAGAAAAGAAATTACAGTAGTATAAACGTATAGTTACTACAAATGGTAGAAACAGTATAAGTAGTATAAATAGTATATAAATTGTAGAATATATGTACATGTAGTTATTTACGAATAGTAGAACTATACAGGGGCGAAACTAGCCCCTTTTAATTAAGGGGGTGTCTGGCAGAATTGTCCTGCCAAAACCAATGATGCCCTGCAGCGCCAGCGCTAATACAATATATCACTAAGCTACGTGTATCATTGAACTGGCGATGCCAATGTACATGCATACGAACTGCTTATTGTTTGCTAGCTGCAATAAGTTCGTACTTAAAAACTCTACATTCTATCATTTAAAATCTTTGATTGCCCTGCCAATCGGGATGATTCGTATTTGGGGAGGGGCCGGGGGGAAGGGCAAATGAAAAGTCCGCGTCGCCGCGTCAATTTTATACAAACATACTGACCAGAACCAATACCTTTTTGCATACAGTATACACAATTGAATAATTTGTCAGCAATAATCAGCATCTTTGAATTATACTTTTTTTGAATATATTTCAAAAACTCATTAATAATTCATGAGGAAAACACAAAGAAAAATTATAAGCCTGCCGTATCTTTATATGTGATAGAGATTTCCCTTGATTTACATAAACTTATATGATTTTCTTGACTTACACAACGTATTTATTTGAAAATTACTTTGCCAATGAACTTACTAGATTGATCGTTTTTGAAGCAATTTAAAACATTTGCAGTGCGTGTTTTATCAGACCTAAAGATACTCGGCTTCGCCTTCGAAGTGGAAAGGAAGTTGTTGTTAAGCTTGAAGAACGAAGCGTTATGGATGCAAGATAGAGTTTCGAGGGAGTTTCTTGCGAAGTCAAAAGAAATTATGAGAGCGAAGGGAGACAGAGTGGTATGTAATTATTGGTTAAAGACTTTAGAAGAATATGAAAAAACACGGACAGATGAATTGGCTGATAGACGTAGAAGGAAGTTTAAATTGTGGTCAGGCAAAGGATATATAGTCGAAGGCGTAAGGGCGCTATCACCTGAGTGTATTTCCACACCGGGCAGGCTGAAAAGTTAGCCTGACCATCGTGCGAATCGAACCCGCAACCTTTGGGATACTAGTCCAATGCTCTGCTAACTGCATATACACTCAGAGTAACATCAAAAACAATATTCACCTGAGTACCTGTACATATAAACACCCAAACAACACATTCTTAATAAGAAAATTCTTTTTAAGAAACATTTCTTGATTTGAGAAATTATTTTCTTAAAATAAGAAATTATTTTCTTATTTTAAGAAAATTTTCTTATTTCAAGAATTTTTTTTCTTGGGAGAATAACAAGAAAATGTTCTTAATAAGAAAATTCTTTTTAAGAAAAATTTCTTGTTTTGAGAAATTATTTTCTTAAAATAAGAAATTATTTTCTTATTTTAAGAAAATTTTCTTATTTCAAGAAAACTTTTTTCTTGGGAGAATAACAAGAAAATTTTCTTAATAAGAAAAAAAATTTCTTGATTTGAGAAAATATTTTCTTAAAATAAGAAAATATTTTCTCAATTTAAGAATTTTTCTCAAGAAAATTTTCTTAATAAGAAAAATTTTCTTAAGAAAATTTTCTTATTAAGAAAATTTTCTTATTAAGAAAATTTTCTTGTTATTCTCCCAAGAAAATATTTTCTTATTTCAAGAAAATTTTCTTAAAACAAGTTTTTTTTTTCTTAAAATAAGAAAATGATTTTTTGCTGTGTGGAGCGATAAGAAATTTAAGAACGTTGGTGTCCAATAATGCACTTTATAATGATAGTCTTGGGAGTAATGGAGAAGCTAGTTTTGAAGTCAATCAGGCTGAACACACAGAAGTTGATAGATTAGAGGTCGTAAATGGATTTTCAGAAGAGAACAATGCAGATAATGATCAGCCTACAGACAATGGAACTGGTTTATTTGTAAGTGATAATGTAGTAAATATCTCTAGTAGAATATTAACGCAAGCTGAGGTTTCTCTATTGTCTAAGGGGCTTAAGTTCTGTCCGACTTTTAAAGAACGAGATTGGTCGGCTATTAAAAGGGATGTTAAAGAATTTGGTCGTAAAATTAGATGTAAAGAATATTTTTTGTGTAAGGCTAATTACGGGGCCGAGGAGTCAAGTCAGAATTTTAGGCAATTTAAGGAGAAGTCATCTTGGGTGCCGAGTGAGGTAGATCCGGCTATAGAGGTGTATTGTTCCAAATTGGAAGAAAAAGTTTCTGCTATTAATACGGGGAGAAACTACAGTAATGTTCTGTTGAGGAAATAAGGGCGTTCAAGAATTTGAAAAGCTATAGGGATATTATTATTAAGGAAGCAGACAAAGGTTCTGCAGTTGTAGTTTGAGACAGAAAAGAATACTGTAGTGAGGCGATTTGGTTGTTTATGAGAGACTTCAGGAAAATCCTCTGAATGATATTTCAGATAAAAACAAGCATTTAAACCATTGTTAGATAAAGGTTATATTTCGAGCAAAAACTTAGAATACCTCGTTGTGCCGAGACTACGGTTGGGTAGATTTTATTTATTTGCCTAAAATTCACAACCGGCTTGAAAATGTGCCAGGCAGACCAGTTATAATATATCTAACTGTGGTACGGCTATATAGAACGAGTGTCGGAGTTTCTGGATTTTCGTATTCAACCATTTGTCGAAAGTGTGCCGTCTGTAATAAAGGATAGTACACATTTTTTGCAACGTTTGGAAGACGTAGGTCATGACATATTCCATCGACTGCAATTTTGTGCACTATGGATGTAGTGGGATTATATTCTCATATACCACACAGCGATGGTCTTAACACAAGCGCGGGCCCAATCTCGCAAGGTCAGTATAGACTTATAGCATAAATGTATATTATATTAATGTATATTTATATAGTAAAAATATGTCGTAAAATATAAATTTTAAAATGAAATTGACTTGCCTATTTGATAGTGTGTGTTCTCCTTTTATTCCTCCTCTGTTGGACTAATATTTTCCGAGACTTTGTACTCGATGTTACTAGTATACATGAAACATGATAAAGGCTAACTATTCCCGATCGTCGATCCGACGGCACGGCACTTCGAATCGAAAATTTTCACACTCAAATCGCTTTATTCTCCAAAACAATTCGCCAGCATGTACAACAAATGCCGTTCTTCGAAAATACGGAGGTACTTCGGCGATATGTACAAGTTTTGGATCATATTTTAACAATGGAAATCAAAACCCATTTTATATTGAACTTGCCCAGGCCGAAAATTACTACGGCGAACGTCTGCGCAACCAGGCCTTCTTTACCGTTGGATTTACAGGGGGGAGGATGCCACTAATATATTCATGATAATATTTCGAATTAAAGTATCATATTCTACCATGCTTTCCAACAAAGAGCCGCTGTATATTACTTCCTCCTTAAATTTTTTCAATCTCCGTCGTTTAGTTTTCTTTTCTTCGACAACATCTCGAGTTTTATACAGTATCCGATCGAAGGAGTTTTTATTTTGAATATCAAATTTCAAATAATGTAAACAGTCGCTATCGCGGCCGCGATTGGCTGGGTGTTACCGGAAATATCTGCTTCCCCCCCTGTAAATCCAACGGTAAAGAAGGCCTGGTTGCGCAGACGTTCGCCGTAGTAATTTTCGGCCTGGGCAAGTTCAATAGAAAATGGGTTTTGATTTCCATTGTTAAAATATGGTCCAAAACTTGTACATCTCGCCGAAATACCTCCGTATTTTCGAAGAACGGCATTTGTTGTACATGCTGGCGGATTTTTTTTGAGAATAAAGCGATTTGAGTGTGAAAATTTTCGATTCGAAGTGCCGTGCCGTCGTATCGACGATCGGAAATAGTTAGCCTTTATCATGTTTCATGTATATTAGTAACATCGAGTACAAAGTCTCGGAAAATATTAGTCCGAAAAAGGAGGAATAAAAGGAGAACACACACTATCAAATAGGCAAGTCAAATTCATTTTAAAATTTACATTTTACGACATATTTTTACTATAATATACATTAATATAATATACATACTATAAGTCTATACTGACCCTTGCGAGATTGGGCCGCCTATATTTAAACCGGTATTTAAAGTATCATTGAATCCCGGGTAAGCGGAACCATATAAACAGCCCTCAACGCTAAGTCATTTATAGACGAAGTTGTCACTTGTCAAGTTTAAAAGTATGAATTTTAAAAATGCACTTTCAACCGAAAATTATGGCAAATGTTCGATAATAAACGTTCAAATTAACATTAAATTTTCAGACAAAAAGCCTTATGGTAATGTGTTGATAAAGTGTTTATGTTGGTTTCCATGTAAACGATGTTGGGAAGCCTTAATTAAAATATATAGCAAATTTACGGGCAAGAGATCTATAGCCGCTTAATTTCATAATTTGATCTTGTTTACAAGTGCAGCTATTCGAACTAGCTAGGTTGAATATTTCAGAATTTCTGGATGGGAACAACTCTCTTCGCTTTTACTTTAATTAAATAAAAAATTATTACAACTCCGCATGAAGCTGTCAATCAGCCTAGCATGGGATATAAAATGTCTTAAACAATGACAGGTCGCATTGCATCCTGCTTGGCGTACAAATTGTCGTGTTAAATGGACTAGATTTACTTTCGTAAAAATAAAACCGATATTTAGTTGTTCAGAGAACAGAATCGCCAAAATGAAAATTTTTGCTAATTAGTTTTCTGCACAGGACTTGACAATTCTGCCGCTGTTTGCCAATTTTTATAAAAAGTAAAAAACAACAACAAACAAAGGCTGCACTGTCCAAAAACGTGCAAGAACTTGCAACATTTAGAATGTTTCTTTGTACTACCCTATAAGGCAAAATATTTCACCGAAGGCGTTTAAATTAAATGCTAAATCAACACGTGCTACCATTTTGGAGAAAATGTAACGCTTCAAAAAATAGTCTCGAAAACGCTTCGACTAATATA